AATTTGTATACCCCCTGATGTCCAATGATTATGTTTGCAAAATAATTTTAGGAAGGGAGTCCCTTAATTGCAGAGCTAGGGGTAGCCCCAAAGCCTTGATAGTGGGTAGTCTTATGACTGAAGCTCCTCCCTTTTGTGCATGAGATATTGATCCGTATATAAAGCATTGATCACACTGTCATGCCTGTTACCTTTGGGGGGTTTTTTTGCTTCCCCTGTAGATAACAGAATAACAAAGTTGGAAAGGATCTTGGGGGTCGTAGTCCAACCCCCTATTCAAACAGGAAATTCTATAGCATTTCAGACAAATGGTTGTCCAAGATCCTATAGACAGAAAAATCCCCAAATCAAGTAAGATCTGAGCATGCTCAATAAGCATAGAATGCAACTGAAAACCCCAAAAAGAGATGGAATACAATGGTATCACTGGAGCAGTCTATTGTATAATATTCTACTGTATGTCTCACTTGTTTTGTATTAGGCCATTTTCCAGTATAAGCATTGCAATAAAGCATCTCTGTAATATATATGTTTCAGGGACTATATAGATTTAAAAATGGTGCAAGGTACATTGGTGAATACCTTGAAAATAAAAAACACGGCAATGGGATCTTTATTTATCCAGATGGATCAAAATATGAAGGTACTTATATTTTCTTCATTCAAATAGCACCGCATCATAGACAGAAAATTATTGAAGATATTAGTATCTAATCATGTTGTTAAATCAAAGGAAATATACCTAAGTATAATTAATATGCATGTGAAAATAGGTTTCTTTATGATTCTGTTTGCACATTCCTTAAAGCCAGAATATATTTATTTATTTATTTATTTATTTAACATGGATTTATATGCCGCCCTTCTCCCTATAGGACTCAGGGCGGCTTACAGCATATTAAAACACATAAAACATCATTCCCCCATAAAAACCTGTTAAAAACCAAATATTTTTTTTTCGCTGTATAATTAATTAAAAATTAAATTAAAATTGTCCCTATTTAAAAATTCTCCCTAGGCCAGACCCGCTTGTTGAAAAAGCCATGTCTTGAGGGCGCGGCGAAAAGGTAGGAGGTCCGGAATCGTCCGGATCTCGGGGGGTAGTTCGTTCCAGAGGGTGGGGACACCCACAGAGAAGGCCCTCCCCCTGGGGGTCGCCAGCCGACATTGCTTGGCCGACGGCACCCTGAGGAGGCCCGCTCTGTGGGAGCGTACCGGTCTGTGAGAGGGGATCTGTGGCAGAAGGCGGTCTCGGAGATATCCAGGCCCGATGCCATGGAGCGCTTTAAAGGTGGTAACTAACACCTTAAAGCGCACCCGGAA